ACATTCCTGCAAACAACAGGTTCTAGCTTCTGAATTTGCTGGGTTAAAGGTGCCATTCTAAACTGACATTTCAAACCAGGGAGGTCTTCAGGTCCAGTCGTTGGACTAAGGAAATCTATGGCCTCAGCTTTAAAACCAGGGAGGTCTTCAGGAAGTTGAGATAACTATTTATCTGCTATTATCTGTGGCATAAATCTCTATGTGAATCCCCATACTCATTGCTAGATTGAAAAATTCCTTAAGTCAGATAGGGGCTGGCTATAGTTTCACTAGAATAATCTGGGTGAAGAAACTCTCTGTACCAACCTTTTCTGTAACTTCCAGTCTTAGCAAGTTGCCTTGGGTAATAAGAGGTTAAGTAACTTACTCAAGGTCCTGTAGCCAGTATTGTGTCAGTAGCAGGACTTGAATCTGGGTCTTCCTGGTTTTGAGGCTGGCTCTTTATCAACTGTTCTATGTTGCTTCTCTCTGGAAGGACATAAAACTAATTCACAGCAAAGTCTACTATTCAAGACCCCTGGGGTAGGTGAGCTCTTTGAAGGTAGAAAATCTTTGCTTTTGCCTTTAAATCACCAGAACCTAGCACACAGTAGCCACTTAATAAGCTTATTGAATGAATAAATGAGGCAGTTGGATCACATGATCTCTAAGGTGTCTTACCAGCTCTAAAATTTTAAGATTCTAAAGCATTAACCTAAGGGCTTAAGGACTTCCTTCTTCTAGGATTATCTCTGTTTTAAAAGAACCTTTAAGGGGCAGCGAGGTGGTGCAGTGGATAGAGCTCTGGCCTTGAAGTCCGGAGGACCTGAGTTCCAATCTGGCCTCAAACACTAGACACTTACTAGCTGTGTGACCCTACGCAAGTCACTTAACCCCTGATTGCCTCACCAAAAAGCAAAACAAACAAACAACAAATAAAAGAACCTTTAAGATCCAAAGGAACTAAGCACCTGTAGTAGGTTTTCAGATGTTGCAACTGTTGAAGTATTTGGAGGCTTGCCTGGTACCCCCTCGAATCACACCATCCACCGGGCCTTGGGTTACACAGAGGCACTTCTTTGGCCTCCTGATGAGTTGTATGTAGATAGAATGCAAAGAGAAGGTACTCAGGAGCTGAGGGGAGCCCTTGGGATACCACATTAGGGGCAGCCAGCAAGAGATGGCAATGATTCAGCCTCTCCAGAAAGAGCAGGCCCAGATATGACATGCACACCTAGGAGCAATCACACTATATTGAATCAAGCCCATTTCAAAATGAAAAACCTTGATTTTAAGACATGAGTTTTCAAGTATTGTGTCTAAGGAAACTTTTCTTCCCAATAACGTATTATAAGAATCATTCTGCACCCCATCCCCAACAATTTGGATGTCTTTCCTGAGAGATAAATTTATAGGCCAAGTCATCATACCAAGGTTATGCCACCTGCCAGTTGGTAAAAAAAAAAAATAAAATTCAGATTGTTATGAAACATCTGATTTATTCTCTTGCTGCGAAGTATAGAAAATGAAAATGGTTTTCAACATAATTGGGGAGATACACATATGTACCAGTCCACAAAGGGAACTGAGCCTGGAGAAAAACTGTCCAGGCTTCAGTTCCTCTTCAGGGACCCTCTTCCCAACCATTCTGTCCTCTGGCTACCTAGCAGTTCCATGATATAACACTCCTTCAACTAGGCAATGCTAACTCAGTACCCATCCTCATCCCATCAGCACCTACCTGGAATTCAGTTGGGGGAGGGGGAAGTTTGTGGAAAGGAGACTTGCTAGTAGGCTGATTAATTAATCTTTGATTGATACTAAAGGTGTTGCTTTCTGATAAAGGCTCTGTTCATAAATCTGAAATGTTATTTATTCAACCAATAGGAAATTCCTTTGCAGCTGAAAAAAATCCCAGGTCATTTTTCTTTGACTTATCCTATCTGGTTGGACAGGCATTTATCTCATAATACATTTGCTCTGGTTTCTGTATTTCTACCCCCAAGTAAATGGGTATGACTATAATATGCTAAGTCTGATCTGAGAGGCATCACGGTATACTGGAAGGTGGGCCAGATTCAAACTAGCTTGTGACATTGGGCAAGTTTCGTCTTTCTTAAGTCTGAGTTTTCTCCTCTATAAAATGGATCCTCCCTAACCCATCCATGCCTGCCCATTCTGGGGGGCTCTTTGGCCACCTTCTCCTGTAATTTCTGCATAAGGTATTCACCCAAGGTGCTAGGGGGCCTATCTCTAGACACTGAGGATTGGAATAGAGTGACTGACTTGTCTGTTACCCCTTGCTATAGAAATATAAATTATAATTTTAAATGAGCATGAAGTTGTGTCATTGCTTAACAGACTGAACATCCATGTTCACAGTGGGCTCAGAGGTGTTCCATAGTTGCCTAGTCTGTTGCCAACATTGATTCACACGTTTCAAGGAGCCTTAGCATTCACGGTAGTGAGCAGAGGGTCTTGCCCTTTGGAGACAAGAACATTTTCAAAACATGGAAGAAAAATACCAGGGAACACAGAGTGAGGGTAGCTGAGATAGAACTGGTTTTATAAGTACAGTGTCTTACCTTGGGTTAAGCATTGTCCTAAAAAGAAAAATGCGAATAATCCTGGAAGAGGCAATATATCCAAGTCTCTAAAATTCCTAATGTAAATGAAGTTATCAGATCCTTCAAGACACTGCTCTAACTGCTACCTTCTGTAAGAGGCCTTTCCTGTTCCTGACAGTTGCTACTGACCTACCATCCCCCTAGGTCACATGAACTATACCATTCTTTCTCCCCACCCTCCACTTAGAACATAAGCTTCTAGAGAAAAGGGAAGGTTTCATTTTTGTCTGTATCCCCATGGCCTAGAGCACAGTGCCTGGCACATGGTTGGTGTGTAAGAAATACTGATTTTGTGTATCAACAGCATGTTACATTCCAGGGAGAGAGAGAGAGAGAGAGAGAGAGAGAGAGAGAGAGAGAGAGAGAGAGAGAGAGAGAGAGAG